TTTTTTTTTTTTTTTCATATTTGGATTCATTGAGGTAAGAGAAGGGTTGAAAGGTTTGTTTTACGGGAACAATAATATAAATGATTGTTATCCACTTATTCTTAATAGGAAATATTCAATAATTTGACTTCTAAAATGACTTATCAAATCTTATAAAGAAATCAAATAATTGCATTTGTTGATTAAATAAGACAAACATTAAATATGAAGCAAATATGTTTTCCATGCAAATAATGATAATTTTATTCGTATAGCTGTTCCAATTTTTTCGACTAATTTTTATTTTCCATTGTTAGTTTGATCATTTTGCCTACTCCATTCTATGCCAGTAATGTTGTAGCGGCAGGTAGATAATGAACAATTTTGAACTTTTGTTGTAACAACAAAAATAGATCCATTTCTATGCCCTTTTAACCTCCTCCTATTCCCCTTTCTTCACTTCTATAAGTTTTGTTCATGTGATGATATTAATCAGTCTATCAGTTAAAGAAAATTGTTGAACTATCTGTTTAAAGTTACTGAATTGCCTAGCAAAAGAAGAAGAAGAAAAAAAAAAACAACGGCAGGAATTAACTTTCTTTTCGTCTTCATTTGACAGCAATCAAAAGAATCGATGCAATCATTTCGACTAATTAATCAATTAAATGATACAGTTGTATATGTTCAAGTGATTTCTTCTTTTTCTATTATTTTCATCTATTTATTCCTAAATTATTCGCAAATTGTGCTCAGTTAGATTATATTGAAAATTTGTATCATATTTGTTATTTAAATTATTTCATATTCAGATGCTTCTCAGGCCAGTATAATTTAATTATTATTGCGGTATTGGAAGTTTTCCAACTTTTCATCACACTTCCTTTCAAATTCCATCACTCTTGACCTTTTTATGATCACGCGTTTCATTTTTCATTAGCGATTGTTCATTTAATTCTCATGATTTATTTAGCAACTTCAAGGAAGAAACCTAAAACATCATATCGGAGCAAAAATTATATTTCGTATTGATACTTTTTTTTTTCTTTCTTGAAGTTGTTAAGCTGTTGCTTATGTTTCTGTGCTCATCAAATTTGTTCTGTTTGTTAATGGTCCACTTTTTTGCTTACATTTCGTGTTGATACATTTTTTTCTTCCTTTTTTAGTATTCTTTCAAGAAGGAATCTACGGAAAATTTGCAGAATTACAAATCCGAAAATTTCGAACTCTGTCATGTTGGTAATGATAGCTTTGTTGTATCAGCTTCGTCATTTTTTTTTGTCAATTTTTAACGGTGGGACATAAATTGAATTTAAATAGTCCTTTTTTGTTAAATTTTAAATGATCCACAAAATACAACAGTTGTAAGGATTAGTATTTCACGAAGTATGTAACAGCAATTATAATTTAGAAGAAACGCTTCTAATTTTCCCTTTTTGTTTTTTGTTTTTAATTGTAATTATTTTTGTTTGTTTTGATGCGAGCTTCTGTGTTCTTTTGCTGAATAATGAACTGAAACAATTGCGGATAAATAATTCTGGGAAAATCTTACAAATTCCATCGCATTTGTGAAAACGGTTTTGTATATTATTACGTTAAATACTAAGACTAGTAACTAAAATTTATGTGTTTCAGAGACTTTGTCAATTTCGTGAACGGGTATTTCTATTTGTTGCACAAGTGTTCCCGAATATGTTGGAGTTATTTTCCGGGTGTTTAGAGAGGTGTGCATGAATGGAACAACAGAACACATCATCTCATCCGCTTTTACCGCCTGGATTTACCAATCCTTCGTTTGCATCCACTTTTTCAGGTATGACTTTTCTTTGCATTGAATAGACCGAATTTATATATTTAATCAGTAACTTATAACCTGGATTCGAGTGGATGTTTTTAGGATCATAAGCTTCGAGTTTATTGTTATCTTTCTTCATAAGTTTTACTGCTTATACTTCCAAATACAACATAGTTTATTAAGTAGAAAAAAAAATTTTGTGAGATTTTCTTGAAAAATGCTGTTGCTAAAACTCACATTCTCACAAAATAAAAGATGATACATTTTCAACGAATGGAGCATGCACCATATTTCTTCATTAGTTTTTACAAGCATAAAATGCATGTATAAAACATCATTAACAAAACATTGGGATTGAGGAATCCACAAATATTGTTATCTTTTTTTATTTACTAATCCACCAGTAGCTTTTTTTAAAAATTCCTTTACCACAAAGCTTAAAAATCAGCATTTATTTGATCGTGAGAAAATTAACAATTGAGGTAAATAAAAATTTCTTTGCTGCAAAGCTTTAAAAAACATTACTTATTGTTAAGGTATAACACCAGCCGCTGGAAATGTTAGTAACCCATTGCTGGCTTCAACACTTCATCATCTTCAAGAACTTTCAGCAGCGCAAGGTGCTGCTGGCTTGCTACCAAACAGTTCTCAATTGACTTTGGGTAGTCAGTTTGCAGCTGAACTCAATAACATTGCAGCAGTTAGCTGGCCCGCTGCTCCAAATGCGAATGCTGCTTGGCTTGAACAGGTTCCGTACCATTTTCTGCTTTTTTGCTTTCAAAAATGGTTATTCCATTATCATTTTTACTATATCGCACTGAGCATGTTTCAGTTTTCTGAATCATTTTGATCCTTAAATCTAGTTTTTATTTTGAGTCAAGAAATTAAAATTTACACATTCATTTCTACAAATCTTCCCCATGTCCTAATCTTTTCCAGAAATATTGAGATTTTTTTTTACATAGCTTTTACAATTTTCTAGGCTAAAGTTGCTGCCATTTTGCCGATGTATACAGTTTTCTCTGCCGGAACTTTAAAACCAAAGCAAGTTTTGCTTATTTATTTTTTTTTTTGGAGTATATGTGACACAATAATAACATGTCGAAGCCGCGTTTTTTTAGATTTAACAGCAATAATTTTAATTTTTACATTAAATTTTTTACAATTTTAATTTTTTTTTACAATTTTTTACAATTAATGCGGTTTTAGCTATAATGAATACTCAGGTTATCTAAAAATCAGCTGAATGAACCTCATGGGTGTTTTATTGCGTTTATCAGGAAAAAGGAAAAAAAATTAATTTAATGAATTATTATGGAACAATGAATTTCTTATTTGCTGCGTATAAAATTTATTTATTTTAGTGATGCAACAACTCTTAATCCAGGCGAAATTGAGCTCACTTTAGAGAACAATATTGCAGCTGCTAGCACTGTTGTTTCATCTTCCGCCATGCCGGTTAGTGCAGGTAAGCATTTATTTGGTTAGATATTGTTGGTGTAAATTTAGTTTAAAATTAGCCATATTCAGAATCAAATTCTTAATTGTGTGAAGTTAATCGATTTAAAACTCCAAAATTTGCATAGTGCACTATAAGCTGACATATATGCAAAAGTTTTATCATTTCAGGTACTTTTCCTTGTAAAGTGGAGAGTAATAATGTGCATAACCTAAGCTCACAACCCTCAACTCCGCAACAGCGAAGTCAACAGCAACCTAATGCTACTATGAGTTCGACACAATCTTCTCCAGCCAATGCAATGCTTGTAATTGACAGGCAACCAAGTTCCATCCAAAGCCATTGCTCAGCCGAAATGAGACCTTGTTCGACTTCTTCCATGGGTTCGTCTTCCGTTCCTAATCATTCAAGCGTTGGTTCAGTTGATCATTTGCCGGGCTCCGTAGGAAGAGCACCAATGCCGGAATCGGTCAGTGCCATACGACCATGTTCGCAACAAAGCAGTTCTGGTTACGTCATATCGCGCGGGAGTGATCCAGCCAGCGCTCAGTCTCCTGCACAGGTATTTGTTTTATCGATTTTTAAAAATGAGAGAAAATTTGCATAATGGCTCGACTTCTCATTGATTGTTTAGATGGGCATTAAGATTTATGAATCATACCATTTACTTCACAGATCGCTGCCATGCCGGTTGGTTCGCGTAATTCAACTCCGCAGCAGAAAACGTTCGATCCAGATGCTGCAAATCAGCCGACAGAACTGCGTACTGTATCTTCTAATGTGCGAAATACCACTCCGGTTGAACCTTCTTCTGAAGCTAATCAAAGCTCCTCATCTGCAGTTCAACAAACGGTAAGTAATATTGAGCCAGAAAAGCAAAATGTTATATTTTAAGGCTGAATTATCAAAATGCATTTCATCATTTTCTCACATTTTCATTAATAAAATTTTAAGGTATTTCTCCAAATTTCTAGTGCTGCTTACGTTTTGCAGGGCACACCTCATGAAAATGGCGCAGACAATAATAATTTGGAAGATTTGCCATGGTCCAGTATAGATCTTGCTGACATTGACCTGTTTAGCGGGTCATCTGTTGCTGAAAAAGATGTTATGCACTCCGTTCTGGATGAAATGGATCCAACTGTGATGCATCGACTTTTCCTAAACGAGCCATCCGCAGCCGCTAGTACAACTAAACTGCCGATAAAGTAAGTGTTAATGATTTTCGTCGTTATATATGATGATCTATAAGCAATCTCATAATTACATGACTAAAACTGTGTTATTATGAAACATAGAAATGTTTGGCACTACGTAGACAAAAATAATTAACTACACTTATACCGGGCAACGTATTTTGTCTGTAAGAGAAGTGAAAAGAATAGAATAAAATGAAGAGTGGACTAATACAAAAAATGAGTAGAATGACTTTTTATGTAGGCGCGACCACCAAAGTCCGGAGAAGTTAAGTAATCTTTGAAATGATAGTTAATGAAGCGGAATTTCAATATAGATTTCAAAATTTCAGTGTCTCACAACTTGTGACACCGAAAATTCGAGAAAAGATCAAACTAAAAAGAGAAAAGGAACTAGCCGATGCCGATAAAGAGTTGGATAGACTTCTTTCACTTGTTGCCAAGAAAGATGCGATATCGACACCTGTATCTAAGATTCCAAAATCGCTTCAGGCGCTTGACCCAGTATTGGTGACGAAAGCAGATAATTCAGATGAACACAAAATCAGCCTCAGTCCTGTCCAGGTGGGCATTTTTTGTCAGCATTAAATCTAAATCATTACTTTCAAGTTCTGTAATTATGTGAAATTTTTATGAGTTAAAAAGTTTGTAACAGTACACATATAAATATCGAAAAAAGATTTTTAGTATCTGAAAAAAATAACATTTCATATCTTCTCAGTATGTTATTTACAATGATGATTTTCTATTTGTAGTTCACGCCTCCCGATTCACCCACAGCATCCACCTCCGGTGGTGTTTCATCAGCATTATGCAATTTCTTTTCTTCATCTGATACTTCCACTAATACTGCTGCTGTCCGTCCACGATCCATACGTAACGAGGTTCCTTCAGCAAAGACACGTTTTTTATTCATGCCACCAACGGAAAAGAAAAACAAATCGAACAAAGTTCCTGTATATAAGCAGAAAGCAAAAACATTTTTACCGTCTGTGCTCAAGAATGAGGAACACGGTAAACTGATTTATGATTTAGGGATTTTTGAGAATCATCACATTACTATAGCGAAGACAGCATGATAGAAACTTAAACTATGCAGTCAAATTGTCAAGTTCAAGAGCATTTTTATTCTTGATAATGAACTAGCACGTTGGAATTATAAAATGGTAAAAGTGATACAATTCTGAAAAATTAGTTTTAATTTAGTTTTAAAGTGAATTATCCGCAAAGTGGTATTCATTAATGATTGTAATAAAACTGCGAAATAGAATTTGCGTTGTTTTGGATTGCCATTGCACTTATCATTTTCAAAATTTAATATGGAAAGTTATATAGAGAACTTTTAAAAATTTAATATAAAAATTTTTATTGAAGACTAAAAAAGGTTAGAGTTTTTTCCATTCTGCAAATTTCTATTTAACAAGCAGTAATTCTAGCTCTCGACGATGCATATAGTTTCAAAGATGATGAGGAGGAAAGTAAACCATTACCGTCTGGTGCGACAGTATCTGAGACACAGCTACGAGAGCAAAGATTGGAAGCAGAAGTTGCGCAGAGACTTGCACGAATAAACAGTGCCCATCCAGAGCTCAAAACAAAAATTGGAAGTGATGAACCACAACATCAGCAGGTACAATGATATAGGCGTTTTTCTGAAATCGCTCCCTTATTATGATTTTTCCTTGTGTTTTTTAAAATAATTCTATGCAGTTATGACAATATTTACAGTTGCATTTTTAATCACTGGATTTCAGGATTTGTGGAGGCATGTCGTACCTAAAAAGCGGCATTCAGCTGCATCAGAAAGACCATCTGTGCCTTCAACTCCTTTATTGCCACCTGCTTCCGTCAATGAACATCGAACAGAAAATTTATTGAGTAAACTTTTTTCTTATTCTAGGTAACTGTGATAAAAGTTTTCAAAGATTTTCATTATTGCTTTTACAGATCAAAAGGTAGCAGAACCGCAAACAATAGGGGATTTATTGTTACGCCGCAAACAACATCGCTCATCATTTGGCTTCTTGAAGACGAAATCTCTTGGCGATAAAGAAACTGCCAAAAATGAGCGACAAACAGGGCCATCGGTGATTACAATTAGAATGGAGCCAAAAACCGACTGTGGTACCGAAAACGGGTTCGTTTCGTTATTTAAATATATTTTAATACAAAATTCAGTTGAATCAAGATATAAATGACTGGGATGTCCCTCGGTTTCCAATTGTTATAATTTTCAAAAAATTTAGAGTTCAGGATTTTTTGGATTTCTTTTGTCACTTCTAGCATCATCGCTTTGTTCCACTTCTACCGGTTAATTTATACTCCATCTTCCGACTTCTTTCCCTCCTTTTCTTCACCTCTCCTCCACACTCCACGCTTTCTTCTCCCTCTGCCATGTTGTAATGTTTTACAAAAATTTAAGCATTACTTTTTTCTAGGACACAGTCGGAGCAACCTCTTCCGAAGTTGTTGATCAGATTGCCTCGAAGATCAGTCGATGGGAATACCGTAGAATATGAAAAACCAAAGAAGAAGAAAAAAAAGCGAAAGAAAAGAGATAGTGATTATGAATGGGTAGGTTCCGAGTCAAAAGGGAAAAAGAAGAAAAAACGTAAACATAAACATCACCACAAGAAAAAGAGAAGACATACATCAGAGTAAGTTGAACTGTTGTATAATTACTCACATATTTAGCTGGTTTATTTATGTGATAATGGTTTTTATGCTGAAACAAGTCCAACATTTACTTGAAGCACGCACGGCATACTAGCGTCGGATCTTGTAATGATTTTAGCAAACTTATGAAAATCTTTCGAAATGATGATTATTCGTGCATTAGGAATTCATTTTTCGGAATAACAATCATTTACTGTTTTGTAGTTAATAGTAGCTATTTTTTAAGTTGCGAGGATGAACTTATGAATAAGCATGAACAATGGAATACATCTGAGAATGCAAACAAAGAAACGACCGTGTTCAGTAAGAAGCGACGCCTCATAATGCATTGGAACGAGAGAGAGGGAAATCGTTTGGATTCAGGTTTGCTATGTTTTATTTGAATGAGTGTAACTTTTAACACTGAGTTTTATATACAACTGTAAAAACTATAGACAACAACTGTAAAAACTATAGACAATAAAAAACCAATCCACTGAGCAATCTACACGGAAGCAGCTTTAGATTGCAAGGCAATAAAAAGAGTGCATTTAACGGGGGTACAGGGATGTTTACTGATATTGATATATCTTGTTAATATTGCTATTAAATGTGTCTGATAAATTGTGCTATTATTGTAGAGTACTACCGGAACCGAAAATTGTCACTTGAAAATAATAGTTTATACAATGCGCGTTTTAATCCGATAGAGTATCACGTTTTGTCGAAGTTTCATCCAGTGGATGGACATTTAGCGGTGAGCATTCTCTTTTCATACATTGCTGTTCATATCATTTGAATTCTGACTTCGTGTTATTTGTCGATTAATCTCACTGTATTTAAAGGTGGTATATATTAGTTTGTTTTAATGATAATTTCATTTATGTCATATTTACTAATTTCCGTTAAAGTTTATCACTCATTTTCTTTCCAGAAAGGGACATTCGTAGTCTGCAAAACTGATATCTTGAAAGAAGATTGCCCTCTCTGGAGAGTTGATAATCAGAACTTGCTGCAGAAATATCCGCCCTTCAGTCTTAATGGCAAAATAGCTTACAGGAACAGTTCTACGGTTTGTAAACTTTTGAAAATTTTCAATTTTCTGTAGTGATTACTGGTTATTTTTGCTGCAATGCTTTTTTTCTACTTTTAATACTCTGAAATTCACGCAAAAATCTTGTTTCAGCTTTTTTCAGCTTTCAAGCTTAAAAAATTCATTTTGAAGATTGACTTCGAAAATACTCTATATAACAAAATAATTTGTTCTAGTATTCTGGTTGGTGTGATCAAATTGCTGACAGCTATATTGTTGTACGGGTACGTTTCATCAAACACAGTCGTTCGGAATCCATAATCGAGCCAGAAATGCCATTGTTAGACATGTTTCCAGCAATCAGCGTCGAATATGAAGAGCGTCCGTCTGGTAATTTTTCATTGTGTTTCAAACAATTTAGTTTTCAGAAAATCATCATTTTGTGTGTTCCCTCATGGTTATACATCGCAGGTTAGTATGTTCTGACTATTTTCACAAGTCTATCGCCAAATCTTTTCATCTGTTTGATAGTTAGGCATGCAAAATTTCGCAACGTGCACAGTCATTGGCAGTCATTTTCAGTTTCATTTTCAGATTTATGGACAAAAATTTATTATCTTCGTTTTTACATTATATTTTCTCCTTTTCTGACATTATCTTTATCTTCACTATTAATTACATGCGGAGGAGATTGCTCAGTTCAGTGGATTTTTGCAAAACATTATTTCAGTCAACTCAGGAATTGCATCGGAGCAGAAAGATCTTTTCGCAGACGACCCGATCCGGAAGCAGATGGCTGTATATGTAAAAGCGATGCTTAATCATGCACTTGATATGACATTTCTCCAGACAGTAAGACAAAAAAGCGGTAAGGAAATTTTATAAATTTTACATAATCGATTTTACATAATCCACTTGACGAATGCGCTGCTTTTGTGACAAATAAATAGACGGTAGTAGATAAGATATTAGAGTTATATGGAAGTGCTGTTAAATAAAAGAAAAAAGGTGATTTCGTATTCTAAAGTAGTTTCCTGTCAGATTTTGATCAAAGTTATTTCGAAGCGTAGTTAGTTTTATATAAATTTCATTGTGTGTTTTGTGCAATTCGTTTTTTTTTGTTGTTAACAACATATGTTATCAGTTATTGCACCGGTTTATTATTTCCCTTGTATTATATCGAATTATAGAGTGGAATTATTTATGTGCTTTAAACGGCATTGATAAATTAAACAAAGAACGGAAAGAGAAAGTACAGTTGCGAGTGAAGTGGATTCAACGATACTTAGATTTGCTGCATTTTTATTCCTCATGTGTGGTATGCGATTCGGAAGGCAGTGGCTTAAGTTGTCAGGTACTCTAACTTTAAATTTTCCAGATCGCGTTTTATCATATGCGTTCTAATTTTTCTCATTCGCAAATCTTGAATGCTATAGATTACTGAAGTCATTGGAAAAAATATCCTAAGCGTGAACCTGTTTCATTCATTAAAACAGAATCAGTAACTCTTTTATCAAAATGAACTTGGCATGGGAAGAGTTTCGAAACACTATGATTTAGAACTAGAGCGTTAGGGAGCTCGCATACTGCTATGAAGGATTTAGGAATATTGTTTAGAACAAGTCTGATCAGTTTCAAACAGCTGTTTTAGGCTTGTGGTATTTCCGGCGTTGAGAAAGTTGTGCAGTTGTTTTGTAACGAGGGTTATGATTATGATACTCTGGAGGCTGAAGAAGTGTGTTACACAGGATCTGGATCTCCACTGCATGCGGTGGTAAGAATATAATTAGAATTTCTCTCATCATCCTCTAAAATATCTTTTCATTGTTACCATAATATTGTAGTTTCCTCAGTAATTTAAAGCTTCCTTTTAGGAATATCTCGTTTGCTCACCTTGTGCAAAATTGTCTGGAATGTATCACAAATTACATCACATGCGTTACATACTCCTGAAGAATTGCGAAGATAAGGTTAGAACATAAAAATTATAGCAATGTTTATCAGTTATGCACAACTCATATTTCGCGCAAATATACTCATTATTTTCTGCAGCTGGAAAAAGTTAGCGCTGGAAATGCGGATATTTCGTCGGAATTCGTGGTAGAGACATGCATGAACGATGTTGTGTGGTTGCGTTCAGTAAGTCAAAATTAAACATTCGATTTCTGGACGTTATCGTTACAGTTTGTTTTTGGCAATAGATTTTTGAGCAGTAAAATTGATATCAAGCATGAGCTGTTTTTCATTTTCAGGTTGTCAATGAGTATGCAGACCTATGGCGAAGGATTGAGATGAATGCTTGTTGAAGTCATATCTCTCGATTTTTCAATCAAAAGAAATCTTTTTCAAAGGATGGAAACTGCAAAATTGTAGGAAGAATTTTCGCTAGAAAAAATCTCAGTAATGCTCATATAATAAATGTTAGCTTTGCACGGATCATCTGGTCCATTATTCCTAGTTATATTTTATCTTGGAGTTAATGTTGATTGTAATAATATTGGCTAAATAGAGCGCAGATTTATAGGCGCTTCTTCCTACCTCCATTTATGTCCTTTTCCCCTCCGTTACCGTTCTCTGCCTACATTTTCTTACCTCCTCTTATCAAGATTCATTTCGGCTAGTTTTGTAAATCTTTCGATGAAATAGTCACAATAGTGCTAATAAGTGTAAGAAACAAGAACCAATTGATTCAATAGGTATGATTTTCTAAGCATTGATAAAGGTAATCATGGCTTACGTACAACATTGACTACTAGATTGTTGTTGTAGCGGGACGTAACCATTCTCTGACAGTGTCGTGTTTCTATAATGAAATCCAAAATTTGTTGTAATTTATTTGTAAAATAGAGAGGAAAGCAGGTATTTTACCGCATTTTGCATTTTCATGTTTGCAGCTCGATAATTTAGATGAAAGTTCTATGTGTAGGTCAAGCTTTTCTCCGTGAAACAGCTTATCATTGCTGGAAATTTTTTATTGCCTATCGATAAGTGCTAGGGAATTGGGGAGAATGTTTATTCATAGTTTAAAAAGTTTGAGTAATCAGGGCGAACTGTGGAAAGTATGTTAAAAGATTTAAATTAATTGAAAAGCTGCTTAATGGAAGAAAATGATTAGTTACATGAGACATGAAAATGCTGAAAATGTTAGCGAGCAGCGATTTCAAAGATATTTTCGTTTGCTTTATGTATATTTGTAACATATCAGTTTGCCCAAATATTTTCGAGCACTCATTGGCGTGACATGTAAATAAGTGTGAATCCATGAACTGTGACATATTTTGGGAACGTATTTCCCATTGCATTCATGGCAACTTGTTAGTTTCAGTTGGAGCTAAATGATTTTGAATTGTCAATTGCTCTGTCAGTTAATCTCAGGTGTGCTCCTTCGGTGATTTTTTTTTATTTTTGTATTTTTGTGTTTTATTTGTAACTTAATTTCCATATCTTTCACTTGTGTTATTACTTACCATACTTACCGTACAGATTAGCGGTAGTGAATGGTTCAATTCGGCATGTGGCACTGAATGCTTAAATTTTCTTCAGAAATTATTTTTTGAAAATAGCCTCAGTTGTATTAGGGAAGTAACGTTATTTGATTAATCAGAAATCTAAAGGGTTACAAAATGATCTCATCAAGAAGGTAATATGATGATGATGGATATATGATGATCTTTTGTGTAACCATTATCCATAAAGATTTTGAATTTAGATTGAACCGCAGCAAACTACCGCTATGTAATTTACTAGTATTTTAAAGTTCAGTTCAGAAATGAAGTGCTACCGTATTTTTACCAGGAATATAGCAACACATCCAATGAATATTAAATCATTTTAAGAGATGAATGTATCGTACGTTTGAAGAAGACAAGAATATTATTCCTTTTTCAAGATTTTTCGACATTCAACAGATTTTAATATTGCAAAAGGAATGAAGTGAACGGAATCTATATTTCATCACAGTTAAATTCACGCTAATTTGAGGATAGCCACTTAATTCAATTCAGCGGTAAATTTTGAGTACGGAATTGAGAT